GAGGATCGAACCCAGCGCCCCTCACATGCCAGACGAGCGCGCTACCGCTTGAGCCACATCCCCAGTCCTTAGTTTCTTCTTATACTCGATGATTTAAACAGGAAAAAAAATCCCATTTAGGATACCATGACTTCATCAGTACCCATATATTGTTTGCAAAATAGATGGAGATGTTACAATTAAGAAGAGTGGAGGTAGCTTGGCACAGTGGTACACACCTGTAATCCCAGCTGCTAGGGGGAGGCTGAGGCAGGAGGATCACAAGTCCAAAGCCATCTCAGCAACTTAGCGAGACCCTGTCTCAAAAGAAAAAAGGTGAAAAAAAAAAAAAAAGAAAAGTGGAGGTAACTGGTACTTGGGGAGTGGAATTCATTGCTGCCAAGTGTAGTCAGGGAGATAATGTTGGTCTCTTCTCGTTGGGACAGGAAGTCTTCCCACAGGAAACCTTTCCTCCATTTCCTTACCTGCAAATGGATCTTGACTGATCCAGACATAGAGTTCTGGAAAGTAAATGGTTTTGGAGGCTGGATGTCCAAATAGTAGAAGTCTCTGGAATGCCTATAATTTTTTTTTTAATTTCATGGTTGTTATAAAAGATATATTTACTCTGTAATTAGTTATTTAGTTATACATTTATGATTTGTTCACTTTTATGCCTGTATGTTGTACTTTTATTAAAGACTTATTTATTTAATTATTCATTTGGATTTTTTTGGAATACTGGGGTTTGAACTCAGGGCCTCATGCCTGCTAGGCAAGTGCTCTATCACTGAATTACATCCCCAGCTAAAAATGACTTCACAAAATATTGACCAATGCACACCTTTTAGGATTTCTAAAATAAAACTCAGTATCAAGTTCTGACGAGCATGCTGAGTAACTGGAACTCTTATACATTGCAAGTAGGAATATAAAATAGTAGCTCCACTTCAAAAAACACTGATGGCGGGCTGTGGTGACACACACGTGTAATCCCAGTGACTCAGGAAGCTGAGAAAGGAGGATTGCAAGTTTGAGGCCAGCCTCTGCAAATTAGTGAGGCCCTAAGAAACTGAGTGAGACCCCGTCTCCAAAGAAAAAATAAAAATTGGGGGGATTTAGCTCCGTGATAAAGCACCCCCGGGTTCCATCTTCAACCTAAAAATAAAACAAAACAAAAAACCAAAAAATTCTTTGGTGATTTTTTATAAAGAGTTTATCTAGTTTCCTATTTCTAAAATATTTATCAGAGATTAACAAAAATTTATCCTCTATCATAGCATCTTGTACATGAATGTTAAGGTGGTTTTATTCATAATCATCAAAAAACTGGAAAAACAACCAGGGAATGGCTGAATTCTAGTTACTCATACACTCAATACTACTCAGCAATAAAAAACTAAATTCCTCTGATAATGCAGCAACATGGAGAAATCTCAGAGCCATTATGCTAAGTGAAAGATGCCAAACTCATCTAGAAAACTCCAAGAAAACATTGCCTTGGGGCTTTGGGTTTTCACTGTTTTTTACAATTGTTTAAAAGTAGCTGGATAGAGATTGAGCTTTGGGTGAAGTAAGGTGTCTGGGGGGTGTGCCCTATCCCATCTTTTTTTGCCATTGATGGCTTGGAGACTGGAGGGTGGCTGAAAGACTTCAGGCAGGTTTTTCCTCTGGTTATAATTTTGCTGCTGCTGGATCTTGTCCAAGCTGGTGACTATGAAAACCAACATTAGAAAATCCTTGAACAAAGCATGATTTATTTAAACCATTGTATTCGTGACCATATTCCTGGGCAAGGCTTGACTGTCCTAATCCAGTCATAGTTTTTTCATCGTTTTGTAGTCACCTTTGGAACAGACCTGACTCAGAGCTGTGGTTCAAATTATACCACTAGGTGTCACCAGGAAGTGATGAATGGTTAAACAGAGGGATCCAAGGATAAAATGTATTGGGAAATTTTTGAGAACTTATTTTGCAGGCCAAAAGAACCCTGTAGGAGACGGGTTAATGCAGAGAATCCAGTGGAGGGCTGCAAGACATGTCAAAAGTTTGCTCCAATTTCTTAAAGATTGCTTGTTCCTTCTAGCCTGGAGCTTCTATAACCTATTTATGCTACTTTTAAAACTTTTCTTAAATTCTATATACAGGCATCAGGTGGCCCCCTATGTCACGTTACTGTGCCTGAGACCTTTTTCCTACGTGTAATCTAAAATCAACTATTATGTTCTAAAATTGTTCTCAAATGGATTGTTCTGGCTCCATCCCCATCCTTTGTTGTTTCACTATGTGTTGATGCAGAGTCAGCAGGGCTGATCATTCCCCTAGGCTGAGTAGAAGAATGGGGGAAGGTTGCCAGGTGAGCCATGTTAGGCCCAAGGAAGTGGGTTGACTAGCATTTATTTATTTATTTATTTATTTATTTATGTATATATATATATACACACACACACACACACACACACACATATATTCTGCTCAAGCCAAATACTATAGAAAAAGCCAGAAATAGAGGCCTAATACCAAACCATGGCTAAGATCCAATCTCTATTCCCCATTCATCCTCTGTGCCTTGTGGTGAAGCCTTCTGTCATATTCAGGTTGATCAAGGATTTTTTTTCTGGCTGAAAAGTAAGCAGCTGTAGTTGCTAGTATAAAGATAAGTTTTTCCCTTCTCCAATGCTGGGGATCTAACCCAGAACCTTGGACATGCTAGGCAAGCACTCTACCACTGAGTCACATCCCCAAACCCCAACATAAGTCTTAGTCTCAATTTAGAAGTGAGTTTCATCTTTGGCCTCTCCCCTAAAGTCAAGTCCTTGATATGGGTTAAAATTACTACCAATATCTGTTAACTCTAAAGCCTACATTTGTTTCAGATCTGTTTGTGGACCTATCATTTCTGCTTAGCATCCCTTAGCTAGGACCTATCATTTCCATTAACACCACAGCTTCACCTGATATTCCTTTGCGTTTATAGGCTGTGCCATGTAATCCCACACCTGTTTGTGCCCTCGTGTTGTTCTTTCTGTAATCAGCTGCTAAAAGTTTTCAGATGGGCATGGTGTTACACACCTTCCAGTGTCTTGGGAGTCTAAGATAGGAGGATTGCAAGTTTGAGGCCAGCTTCAGCAACTTAGTGAGACACTGTCTCAAAATAAAAATAAAATAAAGGTCTGGGCATATATACCTTGGTATCCCTGGGTTTAATCCCCAGTACAAAAAAAAAAAAAATTTTTTTTTCTTCTGCCTTTGCACTTGATGTATTTACCTTGTAAGATGTGGAGCTTAAAATTGGAGTGACTTAATAAATCAGTTGAGCCAGGATATAATAGTAGTGAACATTTATAAAATGCCACAGACAAGGCACTGTTCTAACTGCACGTTAACTCATTAAATTCACACAAAGATCATGAGGGAGAGACTGTTATTATTCCCCATTTTATAGATGCAAGTAAATGGTCCATAAAGAGGCAAGAAATCTGCTCAAGGTCACACAGCTGGTAAGTGATAGAGACAGATTATAAATCCAGGCAGCCTGACTCCAGGTGCTGGGGATCGAACCCAGGTCCTTGTGATTTCAAGGCAAGCACTCTATTACCAAGCTACATCCCCACCCCCAGGTTCCATATTCTTTTTCTTTATTTTTATTTTATTTTAGTTGTAATTTTTAAAATTTTTATTTTTTATTTTATTTGTAATTAACAAATAATTATGATTATGTTGGTGCGTTATAGTTGTAGCTAATGATGAGATTTGTTGTTACATATTTGTACATGTACCCAGGTTCCTTTTTTTTTTTTTTTGATAATTTTTTTGTTGTTGTTGATGGACTTTTACTATATTTGTTTATATGTGGTGCTGAGAATTGAACCCAGTGCCTCACACATGCCAGGCAAGTGCTCTACCACTGAGCCACAACCCCAGCCTCAGGTTCCATATTGGTTTTTATTTAGTTATTTAGTTGTTGATGGACTTTATTTATTTATTTATTTATGGTGCTAAGAATCGAACTCAGTGCCTCATGCATGCTAGGAAAGTGCTTCACCACTGAGCCACCCCCACCCCACCCCCAAAATCTTGACCTTTACACTTCATTAAAACCAGACAAGTAAACATCAAGCATTTACTTTATACTTAAACACATATAATAATGTTTTATGCACATTATCTTATTTGCTCCTTACCATCCCTATTTTACAGACAAAATTGAGGCACAAAGAAGTTAAATTGATGAAAGGACATACAACTAATAAGACCAAGGTGTTGCTTCAGAACTCTAGCACTTAACCACTATGGGCCTTTGTTGGTATTAATTAGACCAGATCCCACCTACAGTTTGATCCTAGTACAGAGCATTGCTATTCTTTTTTTGGTTTATGCATATTGAGAAGTGCTTTGTTCATTGTGTTGAGGCATCACTTCAGAAACAGTACTTGAGCAGCATGCCTGGCCAAGTTGGCCTTGTGGACTTCACTATTAGATGACGCTTTCTTCGCTAATAGCAATTTTTTCATTCTTGGGCTATTGCCTGCAGTTTAGGTCAATAAGAACAATTCAGTTTCAGTTTCCTTTAGTGCTACTGCATGTGTTTGAGCAATTCATCCACCAATAATAAGGTGATTCTTGCCTGTTTTCCAGGCAGTTCTCAGTGGAGGCATGAATGTGAAATATGGGTAAAAAGCCAAAACACTGTTTGAAGAATGCTATTTCTAAGGATGGTGGTTTATGGACCTTTCTTTTCTATTTGTTCTCAAGGGTGTTTGTTCTGAAAAGGCAGAAGGTTTTGCAGCAGCAGGTGAGAAATTTCATTAAGAAGAACAAAACTGGGCTGGAGTTGTGGCTTAGTGGTAAAGTGTCTGCCTAGTATGTGTGAGGCACTGGGTTCGATTCTCAGCACCACATATAAATAAATAAAATAAAGCTCCATTGATAAAATAAAATAAAGCTCCATTTTTTTTTTTTTTTTAAAAAAGAAGAGCAAAACCAGGAAACTTACTTCATCTTTCTTTCCCTTTCCCCAGAGTCTGAATGGTGTTTGGTTGAACAGAGAGCGCCTGGAACCATTAAAGCTTTATTTCATCCATAAGGGAGACCACATCCAGCTTGGGGTGCCTCTGGAAAATAAGGAGAATGCAGAGTATGAATATGAAGTTACTGAAGAAGAATGGGAGAAAATTTATCCCTATCTGTCCCCAAAGAGTGACAGGATGAATGAAAAAAATAAGGACTTGAGAACTAAAAGGAAATTTAGTTTAGATGAATTGGAGGGTCTTGCAGCTGAAGGCCCCTCAAATTTGAAATCCAAAATAAGTAAAGTGTCATGTGAACCTGGTCAGCCACTGAAGTCACATGGGAAAAGTGAACCCTCTGAATATTTGGATCCTAAGTTGACTTCTCTTGAAGCACATGAGAAGACCCCAGGGGCTAGTATTTGCCCTGGCCCTCCCAAAGTCATGGAGCTTCATCAAAAGAAGCAGAAAGCCTCAAATCCTTCAGCATCTCAGAGCAGCTTAGAGCTGTTTAAGGTGACCATGTCCAGGATTCTGAAGCTGAAAACGCAGATGCAGGAAAAACAAGTTGCTGTTCTGAATGTGAAAAGGCAAACCCAAAAGGGGAGCTCAAAGAAAATTATGAAAATGGAGCAGGAACTGCAGGACTTACAATCCCAGCTGTATGCGGAGCAGGCTCAGCAGCAGGCAAGAGTAGAGCAACTAGAAAAGACTTTCCAGGAAGAGGAGCAGCATCTCCAGGTACACACTGAAGGGAAGGCAAGGTTGCCCATCAGTGGGCTGTTACTTTGGGAACCTCTATCTAGAGCTATCTATTTCTGGTCCAGAGACCAAATGTTTGAGTACCAGAAACAGGAGATAGAAATGGGAGAAGAAAGTTGAGAAGGGGGTTAAAGTTTGAGCATGCTGACCAGGAGCCAGACTTGGGGGGTGTCAAGATATAGGGTATGATGACTGAAAGAGCCAGCTAGAGCATAACCGATCTCAGGATACAAGCCAAGGTATCTCAGAGCCACTGTCAGGTGAAGAAGTTGGATGAAGGTCAGGATGGCACAAAACCACATTCCACTCCAATTAAGGCAAGAGTTGACCTCACGACTTATCTGTCTTTGCTCAGTGATCAAAGCCAAATCACTTAGCTGCAAGGCAGTAGGTCAGCTGGTTACTCTGCCCTTGTACCTGACAGTTTGTTAGCTCTGAGGATGAGTCCACGCTGTAGCTAACCTAAGAGGTCAGAGGCTAGAAAAACAGAAAATGTTTTTGTTTCAGTCTTGAGCATCCAGCATGCAGAGGGCAGGGACACCATGTCTCTGGTACTATGTTGAAATGATAAGCCACTTACTTTCCTTTACTGGGATGACTGTCTTGGTGGTGTCAAAATAATGCTAAATGTGTTTCCATGCCTGAATCATTTGCTTAGATGACAAGCTTTTACACAAGCTTTAGGCAAACCTGATTCTGTTCCTACTCAAAATGTCAGTTCCCATCTGGCAGGAACCACACATTACTCCCACCCATTTGCTCAGGTATCATTGAATGTCAAGAATTCTCCGTTGTTGACTTAGAAATAAGAAGGACCAATCACAACTGAAGTGAATAAGCTTTTATTTTTGCTTAGGTTGCTCAGGGCAAGGAAGAACAACTGGCTTATTTCTGAACAATTTATAAATTTCATTCTAATTTCTGTTATCCCTTTAAGCTGGCTAGTAATAGCAGAGAACAGGGATTAAGAAGTTCTTTTTTAGGGCTGGGGCTGAGGCTCAGTGGCTGAGCACTTGCCTCAAACATGTGAGGCACTGGGTTCGATCCTCAGCACCACATAAAAATAAATAAACAAAGTAAAGATATTGTGTCTATATATAACTAAAAAAATATTTTTTAAAAAATGAAGCTCTTTTTAGGGTATATACTGTTGCATGTGTGTACCTTTTTGTTTCCCTTATCTAGCCTAGACTAGTTCTTTAGATTAATAAAGGGTGTTTTATCTCTACGTATTTAGTGTTTCAAACCTTCACTAGATCAGAACCCTCTTGAAGGGTAATGTGTTCAGGAATAAGAGTTACTCTTTGTTTTGTGATGGTGGGGATTAAATCCAGGACCTCACACATGCTAGGTAAGCACTCTACCACTGAGCTACATCCTGCACAGTTACTGTTAATATTTGTGGCCACTCTGTATGCTTCAAGGTATAGGTGCAAAACCTATTCCTGTAGCCAAATGTTAACGAAAGGTGAAAAAACCTGGTTTAGAGAATTTCTCCAGGGGTCGTGTATTAATGGCTCAAAGCAAAGTGTATATAGTCCTAGCTGCATTTCCCTCTGCCCACCCAGCCCTGGGGATTTAGCCTACCCCTGCTCCTTGTTCAGAAGTTCACATAGATTTTTTTGTTGTTTTTGTTTTTTGGGTAACCATGATGCCTGGCACTAAAAAGTTCTGCTGGGCAAAAAATGCTTAATAAATGGTTTTTACCATTAAGTAATTCATCCTGTTGAAGAGACAAGATGTATTATGCACATAATATAATAGGAAAACAGTTTTTATTGAGTTTCTAAACCAGATGACAATTTCATGTGGGCATACTAAATGGGTAGATAATTCTTTTTTTTTTTTTTTTTAAAGAGAGAGTGGAGAGAGAGAGAGAGAGAGAGGATTTTTAACATTTATTGTTTAGTTCTCGGCGGACACAACATCTTTGTTGGTATGTGGTGCTGAGGATCGAACCCGGGCCGCACGCACGCCAGGCGAGCGCGCTACCGCTTGAGCCACATCCCTAGCCCGATAATTCTTAAGGAGGGAAGAGCCCAGAGGTTCTTTTGGAAGAAGCTGGACTAGGTTAATGAGATTGTGGAAGGCTTGCATTATCGCAGCCTTGCCGGACGCTCACACCGTCAGGTGGAGGAAATATAACATAAGCTCATGCTGGGGGATAGGAAGACTAGTTTGTAAGCAAAAAGTGGTCTCAGAATGAGGAGACAGGGTGACCAGAATTTAGGGAAAAAACATAGAAGATCTTCTGAGTCCCAGCATTAGACATTATGTCTGAGTTTAGATTCAGAAGTTCTCAGTTTATATCCTTTCGGGTGTCTTGGCATTAGCCAGTGAAGGAGGCATGGACTGTTCCAGAACCACCCAAGTGGTGGCTTGAAGCTGACAGTCCTGAGGTGTGCAGTGTTTGTGGGGATAACTGCTCAAATCCTTTACTGCCATAAGCTTTAGGTGAGAGTGAAGAGATTTCCGCCTGCTCACTGACCCCTGTTATTTCCAGATTCTAACACTAGCTCATCGGTTCTGCTCCTTGTTGGGTTTTTCCCCCTTTTTTTTTATAGGAAAACCTTTCATTTTGTTTTGGCTTTGCAGGGTTTGGATAAAGACCAAGGAGAAGAAGATCTCAAGCAACAGCTGGCCCAGGCTCTGCAGGAGGTAATTTATCTCTTGCTTCTGTAAGGAGATTGTAGAGTACCCGGGCATCACATGGCCACTAGCTGCCCCTATGGCTTAGCCCATACCTCTGCAGCTTCTCTAGTCTGCAAACAGAGCAGGTGGCAGATGCTCACACCATCAGGCTGGAGATTTGGAGCCTCACAGATATGCCAGATCTCAGTATGAAAACTTACATCTTCATCTGAGCAGAAGTTGCTCTGGTGTCAATGGAACCGAGTCTGTAGCAATTAGGAGGCTCTCTGGGGAAGTGGCTCTACTTCAAGAATAGTGAGGGCAGCCGAGAGGAAAAGTGATCTATGACTTGGCCCTCAGGGCTTGTGAGGGCCTCTAAGCCTCATCATCCCTGAGCTGTGGCCATCCAGAAAACCATTCGAGAATGTTCTAATTAAGCATTTTCAGTCAGATTGAAAATGTGCAGTTTTAATGGTCACCAAAACACATTAAATCAACAGAAGAGTAAAGCTCACAGGAATAAAATTCCTCTATAAGATTGCCTATAATTTATTTCATTCAACTTGGCTACTTCTCCCATTTGATTATTTTATTTATATATATA